AGAAGTCAGGAGAGGTTTGTACACATGTTAATAAAAGCATAAATTGAGGATTCTGGGCTGCATTATCATTGAGGCTGTTATTGATGGTATTTTTACACATTTTACTTGGAAAATTTGAAGAACAAAAACAGGTTTGGCCTTGTGCCAGCTGGCTCAGGCGTTATATTATGGTTAGAAGGTGTTTGTCACTGCAGAAAAATATATGGTTAACAGTCCCATCCTAATGCCCTCCAGACACATGTCAAACAGGAGGCGGAGGCCTCTGCAAGGCCCTGCGTGGACATTGACCCACTCAGGTCTCAAGCAAGTGGTTTCTGCTCTCTAGGCCTCTGTTTTCTGCTCTGTAGATTGGGTGGTTTGGAACAATCTCCGAGGTTGCCCCCAGCTGTCCTGTTTTGCAACTGTGAGGTTTATTTAAGTGTAAAGAGACCCTTTGGAGTCTGGAGGTCACTCCCTGGCTGTTTCTCTCAGGTCTTTCTCCTCTTGGCTTCCCAGACTTGTCCAAGTGTATGGACAAGTATGAGGCTGTGGTTCGCTCTTACTTTGTGACAAAATAGAGGACACTGAGGAATTTCAGTTTCTAGATAGCAGACTGTTCGGTCTATGTACCACGCCCGCCCTCTCGTTCTCACAAGTCCCGAGAACAGCTGCCGCCTCTGACGCGTTATTTCCGTGCTGCTCTGAGAACCGTTACCGTCTCCCTTCAGCCCTGGCCCGGGTGCCCTGAGCCATTATCGTGCCCCTGCTGAGAGGGCGGTCAGACTCTCCTCTCACTGGACTTTTGTTGGGAGACATCAAGTCACCTTGAGGCCTGGGCTCCCCTGCACGGCCTAGAGCCACGTGCCCTGTCTTCCTGAAAGTACATTTTAGAGCTGTTGGAGGTCCAAGGAAAGACCACCACCCCAGCTTACCTTCCATCACTTTACAGTCCCGAAAACTGATGCTCAAAGAGGCTTACTGCCTTTGGGTATCAAGGGTTGATGATGGAGAGAATGTTCTAGGGCCCAGACCAGCACCTGCCTTAGGACTGCCCTCCCCAACACACACTTCTCCCTTATGTCAGAGGTTACAAAAGTTGATGATCATGGTATTAATTAATGGCAAAAATTTAGCCTTGTCTTTGTAAATTGCCCCGAAAGGTTGCCTCAGAGGTTTTAGGCAGGAGCCTTAGGTATATCACTTGGCTCCACTGTATCCCAATTTCATTATGTTCATGCGGGAAAAGGCACCTGGCTCTTTCTATCCCATAGTCATGCTGTGGAAATAAATATGAATATGGATTTTTCCAGGCCTTAAGAGTCATTCTAAGGGCCGCACATTTTGTGTAAAATTGCATTTACTCTTCTGGTTGCTTGTCTAAAGTTTTCAATAAATCCAACTTACACATTTCCACATTCACAGCGATTATAAAAAGTACATCCCAATTGTTGATAAAGTGTGCTTGTTCCTAATTTCACTGGTTATTAGAAAACAGCCTTAAAAAAAATCTTCCACACGTTGGAAACAGAAATTATGGGTTGGGACTACTTATGTGATTATTAAAAGATTAAGACAGAATCAAGATTAGAATTTGTGAAGTTTTATATCCCAGGCCTTTATGAGAGGGTCAATATCCTTATACAAAGTCTGTAATAAATAGTCATCAGTGTCTTTGAGACTGAAAGGAAACACAAAGAATTTGGAAGGAGGTAGCATCTGTGCTAAGGAGTTAATACAATTTTTTAAAATTTATTTTTATTCGAATATGGTTGTTTTATAGTGTTGTTAGGTTCTGGTATGCAATGAAGAGAATCAGCTACGTGTATCCATCTATCCCTTCCCTCCTGGACCTCCCTCCAACTCTGCCCACCCATCTCAGCCCTCTAGATCATCTCAGCGTGCAGGTTCTCACTAGCTGTCTGTTTACACTCGGCAGTGTATATACATCAGTGCCGCTCTCCCAGTTCATCCCCCACCCTTCCCCCACTGTGTCCACGTCTGTTCTCCACGTCTCTGTCTCTGTTCCTGCCTTGGAAATAGGTTCATCTGTACCATTTTTCTAGATTCTACATATATGCATAAATCAGAAAGAGAAAAACAAATATCAGGAATGCATATAGGAGGAGTTAGTACATTTTTTATTCTGCCTTTTCTAGCCCTTTACTTTGTAAATCCATACACTGAACGTAGTATTATTAGACATTTCATTAGTGAATTAATGCACTGAATGCATTGAATTATTATTCACTATAACATTTTGCATTTTAACCAAACCAGAGCTGGACGGGCTATAGTGGGACTGGCATTCAGGCAGGCATGTTTGTAACTATAACACATTTACGACACTGGACCCACCATGCTCTGCTCCAGACAAATCCCATCGAGCCACAATTCAGGAGACTCTTGGTTCTCACGTGTGGTCTGCAAACCCGCCGTATCAGCATCATCGGTGCTTCAGACGCCCCATCCCACACCTGCTGGGTCAGTATCCGTATTGTCACGTGATGCCCAGGCAACTCCATCTCCCATTAAAGTCTAAGAAGCACTGACTCAGCAGCCTTCAGTTCTGTTCTCTCCCACTAGTCCGTGATAGAACGTAAACGCTTTCATATTCCATACACCTAAGAAGACAGTTCATGAGACTGAAGTGAAAGTCACTCAATCGTGTCCAACTCTTTGTGACCCCGTGGACTATACAGTCCATGAAATTCTCCAGGCCAGAATAGTGGAGTGGGTAGCCTTTCCCTTCTCCAGGGGATCTTCCCAACCCAGGGATCAAACCCAGGTCTCCCACATTGCGGGAAGATTCTTTACCAGCTGAGCCACAAGGGAAGCCTGCTGTTAATTCTTTCCTTTGCTGAATATGATTATCGTTTGCTAGCCTCTCTTCCCCCTCAAAAGTTATCCTACATGTATTGTCAGTTTTATAGTTTATAACCCTGTCTGACTGTCTTTCATTAAGTTGATTATTCCTGCTTTGATTTTTATGCCGGAAAGTAATTTGTAATCTGACAATTCCTAGCGTTCTTGTTTTATCTGGAATAACCTTTTACAAATGAATGTTAAGGAGGAAAAAGACCACTAGCCAAGAGCAGTGATTGGTTTTTTTGGCCAGTGTTTAAAACCCCCAAAGAGGGCATTCACCTTGATTTTCTTCCCTTTTATTCTTAGTAGGAAGTGGTATAATGGAGGATTTTTATTTTTCAAGAAAAGAAAAACAATATAAGAATCAAACGCTTGTTAATTTAGCTGTTTTTGTCCCCCAAGTCCTCTTCCTACCTCTCAGCCCATCTGATCATTTCAGCTGTCTTCATCATTTAATACAGCCAGATCCTCTATTTAAAGGCATTGGGAGTTGCTTTTTGCAAGTTTTCTAATATGCTAAGGAAAGCAATTTCGGTTAATTGGCCAGGGAGGCTCTGCCCTTGCCAGGGTGTGCCGGGCGGCATTCAGGGCCAGGGCAGGTGCTGGGTGTGAGAACACGCTCACCTCCGTCAGCCCGAGCCCAGGCAGCCCCTCCATGAGCTGCTGCAGCTCCGCAGTGTCATTAGACCTCTTAAGGCTCAGTCCTGGATTTCATCTGGAAAAGGAAAGGTTAAGGAAGCTTATATTCTAGAAAGACAGGGAACTCTTCCTGACAGTCATGATGCAGTGATCCCACCTGCCTCTCTGAAGACATCTGCGTCCCCCTAACTAGACAGGCTTCAGATCACTGGGGCTTTGCAATGCCCACTTGGAAAGAGGAAGGTGGAGTGAGTGTCTTTCCCTGTGCGTCCCTCACATGCCGTCCAGTGGGGCTGGGCAGGGAGTGGAAGTCAGTTCTCAAGGGCACAGTGAGCACAGGTGAAGACCAGACTTCCTCAGATGCTGGGGGCTTGCTGATCCCACTGTCCTGTAGGCAGTGTAATATGCTTGGGGGAAAGGAGGAGAGTTCCCCGAGGCTCTGAGAAAAGAGATTCAAACGGGGTCACCTAACAGAGCAGCAAGGACTTAGCTAGTGGGAGTGTGGACAGCCTGAATCTGGGGAGTGAAATTCTAGATAGTGGAGTGAAATGAAGCCAGGAGAGCCCCTGTTCATAGCCCCACCTCATCCCCTCCAGGAGATGAGCTGTCCTCAACAATGACTGAAGTGGGGTTGGGGGTAGACCAGGTCAGAATCTTCTAGAGCTGTGTTAGAGCACACCTGCCCAGGCCAGGCCCTCCCAGGGCAGCCACAGACCCCAGGGTTTACTAATCGAGTCATTTCCTACTTGAGTAGTTGACTAGTTGAGAACTTGGGTTCGGTGTCAGCCACATTGCAGATGGAATTCTGGATCTTCTGCTTGCTAAAGCTACGTGACCGTGGCTCAGTTATTTTACATCTCTGATCCCCATCTCCTCATCTGTAAAACAACAGTGATATAAATAGTAATTGTTCCATAGGAATGTTATCAGAGTTGGGAGAAGTGCTCTCTGCCTAACTCTTGGCAGAATACCTGTTCTATAAGGAAACACTCAGTGAATGTAAAATGTCCTCCCATGGCTGGAACCTAACTTTATTCAGAAGGAAACCTGAGCTCTTGTTCAGCTCAAAAGAACAAGGTAAACAGAGCAACTTTGATTATAATTCTAGACATTAGAGTCACTATTTTCATTTCACTTGAAGGACTTGCCATTTGTGTTACAATGAATAGAAAATGTCCTCCTCCTTATCAACTTCTTCCAAACACAGATTTTGTTCTTTTTTAAAACTTTTTATTTTGTAGTGGGGTATAGCCGATTAACAATGTTATGACAGTTTCGGGTGAACAGGGAAGGAGCTCAGCCATACATATACGTGTCCCCAAGTTCCCCTCCCATCTAGGCAGTTACATAATACTGAGCAGAGTTCCCTGTGCTATCAAGCAGGTCCTTGTTAGTTACCGATTTTCAATATAGCAAAGCAAACACATATGTTTTTGAAAACTTGTCATGACAACAAATGACCTGGAAACTGGCCTTTAACTGGTTCTCTTCCTTCCTCCCCCATCGTCCACGGGAAGAATTCCCTGACCCGGAGTGCACCTCTTCCCAATGACTCCCAGGCCCGCAGTGGAGCGCGATTCCACACGTCCTATGACAAGAGGTATATCATCAAAACCATCACGAGTGAAGATGTGGCCGAAATGCACAACATCCTGAAGAAATACCACCAGGTAATGTTTCTTTATTTTTATTTGAAACTCTGAGGTGGTCAACATTCGTAATGAATTATCATCAAGGCCCAAGATTTAAATATGTAGTTAGGTCATGACGAGAACACATTTGACACAAAAATTCCCTCTAACTGTGTTTGTAAAAATTATTGTGTCCAAATTACAGACAGTTAACATTTAGGAATGGTAGATTGTTAGTTATATGTGTAACACTTCTAATTTAAATACCCTTCTGTACAGTAGTTTCGATGATTCCCATTCTGATTTTAAAATCACTGAGCTTAAGGGTTGGCAACATTTTGGAAGTTATTCCGCACATGCCTGCCGGCAGTGAGGTGTTGACCCCTGAGTATTTAACCAATTACACCTCTTGAGAAAAGTCTCTGATTTTAGAAAACGGGTGTCTGTCTACTTACAACCTCCTTTTCAGAGCCCTCAGCATTGTCCCTTCATAATCTCCTGGGGGTAGGATGAAACTGTCCTGGGGAACGTCCATCTCTTTCTATCGTGTGCCCCCCACCACTCTCTTTCTCGATAAATCCACACAGGTGCCGCAGGGCACACTTGCCGCTGCACTCTAAGCCCTCCATAAGTGGTAGTGGTCATAGCATCGCCAAGTTCTGCAGCCGTGACCAGTCACAACTGTGTCCCCTTGAGGAAGTGTAGTCTTAGGGCGTGAATATGGCACTGTTGATGGTGGCATTTTCGAAGCAGTCACCTTGAGAACTGGTGTTTAAACCACACACTGCAGCACATACCCACACAGGCACACACACATACTGCTGCTGTTAACCAAAGAAGCCTCAAAAGTGTTTATATCATCGCATCAAGTACCAGCCTCGCAAAGTGACTTCTTCAAAGGTGCTGCTTGGTTGGATCTGTGGGCGCTGAGCGTCTGTGAAAGTCGGCTTCCTTCCTCTATGGTCCCGCTTTCTGCTCCAACATCAGAAATTGTTTCTTGCCGGTTGCTTACTCTGCTCAAATGTGATCAACTGCATTTTGCTCCTAGTGAGGTCAGTGAAACTCTTGAAGCTCCCTGCCTCCTGTTTCTGGAAACTTGGAGCTCCCCTGATTTGTATTTTTAAAAACATTAGTCAGCCTCTAAATTCATTTAACATCTATTCAATCTTTATAACACTGATTCCTTTTGAAATCCATTCTACAATGCTTGCGCCATTGCCAATTATGAAGGAAATTTTAAAGTGCCAGGTTAGTACCTATAAGGGTAGATACTCAGGCATTGGCTTCTGAGTGGATGGAATTCTAGGATGCAGCTCTTAACCAGTCACCCCCCGCTGGAACTTACTGTCATGCTGGTGCATCTTTTTCCACTTTCTTTAAATTGTCTCAGAACTTTCAAAGCAGTATGGTACCTTAGTGACCAATGAAAACATATTATTATGATAAGTGAGACTGTTCAAATGCAGTGTGACATGCAATTCAGATACCAACTTCTCAGTGACATCTCTGAGTTCAGAATTTTTTGACTTTTACAGAAGTCACAGTTTGAAAGGTTTCCTCTGGGGTGGTTACTGTAACGAACGTGCAGATTTGACATATCAGCAGTACTACATAAAATGCATTGGGGACCAAAATATAAGTCTATTAACATGCTCCAGGGGCTGTCACAGCCCTAAATATTTCCTTTCACTTCACTGCTACAAAATGGCTATTTTTGTAGTATGTTCTTTAGCCAGAAAAAGCTCATTTCTCATTTCTTCATCATCTGTGTTTTTCCTCATGTAAAAAGTCTTTTATTTTTACTTTTGGCTGTGCTGGGTCTTCATTGCTGCACACGGGCTTTCTCCAGTTGCGGTGCACCAGCTTCTAACTGTTGTGGCTTCTCTTGTTGCGGAGCTCTAGGCATGCAGGCTTCAGCACTTGTGGTGCGCAGGCTTATTTGCCCCCTGTTCCCTGCATTAACAGGTGGGTTCTTAACCAGCAGCCCACCAGGGAAGCACAAAACGTATTTAAAATATAATGAAAGGGTCTTAGTGCTAACCTTAAAACAGAGTGTTGTGGGTCAATTATTCTTTAAAAACAAAGACACTCATAGAAAAAGGGATCAGATATGAGGCTACCAGAGGTGGGGGAATTGGATAAAGGCAGTCAAAAAAGTACAGACTTCCAGTTACAAGGTAAATAGTAGGGCTGTAATGTATAATATGATTAATATAATTAACACCACTGTATGTTATATATGAAAGTTGTTAGGGAGTAAATCTTAAGAGTTCTCACCACAAGGAAAAAAATTTTCTTTTCTTTTGTAACTGTATGAATGATGGATGTTCACTAAACTGTGATAATCATTTCTTGATGTATGTGAGTCAAATCATTATGCTGTACACCTTGAACTTGTACAGTGCCATATGTCAGTCACATCTCAGTAAAACTGGAAGAAAACAATCCTTAAATAAATAGAGGTAAAGGGTCTTCGTGACTGAGAATCACCATTGCTAATACAATTTGTTTAAAGGACAGTAGGTGGAAGGCCAGGAGACCTAGGTCATAGCTGATCACAAACTAGCTAATTCAGGGATCTATGAACCTCAGTTTCTCCATCTGCATTTCATTCATTCATTCCTTTGTGCATGCATTCACTCTTTTTCTTATTGAAGTATGGTTGACTTACAATATTGGATTAGTTTCAGGTGTAGGGCATAGTGCTGTGATATTTTTATAAGTTATGTACCGCACAAGTTTTTATAATATTATTGACTATATTCCCTGTGCTATGTATTTACTCTTGACGTAATTCCATAAAGGAGGTAAGGTGGCCTAGACTACTTTTAGGATTTACCACTAGTCAGAATTTTTTTTCTTACTTCGGTGGGGACTGTCATTTCTTCTTTTCTTGCTTTTTATTGCTTTTACCTTCTGATGTGCTTCTGAACCAGCAGTCTGGTCTAGACAAGTCATTAGGCTTGTTCAAATCCTGTTATCAATAGACAGGACAGGCTCTCAGAGAGGGCAGCTCCTATGGAGTATATTGGATGGGCTTTCTGACAGAGTTGGTTATTCTGTGCCTCTTCTTTTTTTCTTTTCTTTCATTGTTCTTTTTTTGTGTTTAAGTAAAATATATCCGGAGGTGCAGCTGTATTCTGGAAGGTTAAAACTACCCTAAGGCCAACCTCTGAAGGAGTAGCACAGTGCTAGGTGTTGAAAGAAATTCCTCCTGATTTTCTGATGAGCCAGCCTCACCAGCAGTGCCCATGTGGCAGGTGGTTCAGAAGATGAACTCTGGAGCTGGCTGCTTTGCCCCCGACCTGCTGCATGACCTTGGGCAAGTTACCTAACCTCTCTGTACCTGCTTCTGTGTCCTTAAAATTTGGATGGTGCTGTCTCCTCCATCCCGTGTTGTATGGGCTTCCCAGGTGGCGCTAGTGGTGAAGAATTTGCCTGCAGTGCAGGAAGACTTGAAGACACTCAGGTTCGATCCCTGGGTCAGGAAGATCCCTGGAGAAGGGCATGGCAACCCACTCCAGTATTCTTGCCTGGAGAATTCCGTGGACAGAGGAGGCTGGTGGGCCACAGTCTCCATAGGGCCGCAAAGAGTTGGATACGACTGAAATGACCTAGCAGCAGCACCCTCCTTCATCTGGTGTTGTGCTAATTAGGGGGATTGACATTTATAGCCTGCTCAGGACAGTGTCTGGTAAATAACAAGCGCTATGTAAATGATCGAATATGATCTTTAAGTACTTCTCTTGCCAGTATCCCAGTGTTGAAATCATTCAATCCACTAGGGGGCCTGGTTTCTGGTAGAGTGTGGCACAGATGCAGAAAAATTTGAAGATCCAAACTGTAAGAAGTTAGATTTCTTCCAGGCTCCAGCATCCTGCCATAGTTTTTATCTGCTGCCCAGATCCCACCCTGATTTTCACTATGTGCTAAGAAAGCACAGCATCATCTTTCAGACCAATGGAAAATTTATATTAAGCAGAGCAAACTTTTATGTTCCTTTTCCTTTGTTTTTTTTTTTCTTTTATATAGTTGGGAAAATAACTTAGTGTTTTGGTGTAATCTTCTTTAGATTTCTGTCAGGTTAGGCAAACTCAGGTCTTATAAGTACCGCGCGCTAACCGATTGCGCCACTGGAGCTCTAAACTCAGGTCTTATAGATGATGAAGCTAAGCAATGTTGGAGCATTCAAAAAGGAAAAATATGGTCAAGAACCTTCTTGAATGTCTTATTTCTCCTGCGTTGACTGATTTTTTTTTTAACTGACCTAAATCCATTGGAAGTTTTGGAATCATGTAGCTTCTTCAGCTTTAATTAAAATGGAGTCAGTGTCAGTAAAATTTTAAAAATTTTAGAGGAGGGAACACGTTCCAATGTAGATAATCAAAAAATGCCTATGAAAATAGTATTAAGAATATCTTTTATGTTTTTGAAATGTAGGGTTTAAATTTGTTTTTTATTTCAAAGTGACTGAACTGACAAATTGACCAAGTAACCTAAAAATCCTTTCTTAACTTTTGTTATCCGGAAGACTGTTGGTAACTTGAGCCGAATCTAGAAGTTGTGCCTAAAACTCTGGAATCATTGTTGGAAAAGCTACTTAGTACGTCAAGTTTCAGGGTAGGATGAGGAGGGTGACTGCTTGACTTTTTTGGATCTTCCCTGGAATACATCTTTCTATCCTCCCATGAAGGACAGTGGTGTTGGCCACAGAGAGAAACTGAGAAAACAGGCCCAAGAAAGCCAAAAGTTAAAACTTTAAAAATTAAGGGTATGGTGCCAAAAGAGAAGTTAGACCCTCCATCAGCACGTCCCAAATTACTGATTGGAGACAGAACCCCCGCACAGCCTGTGAGAATTCATGTTCTGACTCAGTAGATCGGGGTGGACCTGAGACGCTGCGTGTCACGGGCTCTCGGGCGATGCTGATGGAGCCCCTGTAAATGGCAGTGCGGGCCCCACCTCCTGGAGCAGGAGAAATATTCCGAGTCTGCTTATTGGTTCTTTTTGTCCTCTGTGGAGGAGAGGCCGGTGGAAAT